TGTAGGCCTGCCTCTGCAGCCACACTGGGTGGCCTGACAGTGCTGCACCTGTGGGTGCTGGGGGTAGGTAACTGGAGCTGTACTGCCCAGCCCTAGTGGTGCTCCAGGGGGAATGGCCGTGGTGGTGGGGCTTCCCCCACACCGGTTCAGCGCTGGAGCCAAGGACCAGCTAAGGAAGGGTTTGGAGCGGGGTCCACTGACCTGGGCCTGCCTCTGCAGCCACACTGGGTGGCCTGACAGTGCTGCACCTGTGGGTGCTGGGGGTAGGTAACTGGAGCTGTACTGCCCAGCCCTAGTGGTGCTCCAGGGGGAATGGCCGTGGTGGTGGGGCTTCCCCCACACCGGTTCAGCGCTGGAGCCAAGGACCAGCTAAGGAAGGGTTTGGAGCGGGGTCCACTGACCTGGGCCGGTGGCTGGCAAGATGGCAAGCCATCCCCAGCTGGCCACTCCCTTCCTGGTGCGGCTGCCCCCACTGGTCACGCTGTGGGACAGCTTTCCCCAGCGCTTGCTGCCCCCTGTGGTGACTGTGCAGTATCGCGTCCCTCTGATCAATCCCCTCCTTTCCATGGTATGGATAACAATCCAATTCCAGGCACATCCCATTTTCCTGCCACAACCAAACCCTGACTTTGCTTTAAATTCATGGAGGTTTGGTCCATCAGTGGCTATTAGCCAGGATGGGCAGGGATAGCGTCCCTGGCATCTGTTTGTCTGGGAATGGGTGACCGGAGAGGGATCACTTGATGATACCCTGCTCTGTTCCCTCCCTCTGAGGCACCTGGTATTGGCCACTGTGGGCAGACAGGATACTGGGCTAGATGGACCTTTGGTCTGATCCAGTATGGCCGTTCTTATGTTCTTAAGTTAGGATAAGAGGAAGCTGCACACCAAATGTGGTGGTCCTAGCTGTTAGCATTTAAGGCAGAGGTGCAGAACCTAAAGCCCTGGCTTGCCTGATTCCAGACCCCCGAGGCTCAGGGTCCTGCCCTCGAGCACTGGACAGCATGCACTGGTGCTCCAGTCCCTCCGCTTCTCGTGTGCAGCCCCTGACTGCCTGTTCTGCAGGTCAGTGGCCTCCGACCCAAAAACAGTTCCCCACACCTGGCTTAGGAGGCACTCAAACAAACGGACTCACAGACAGACGGACACCTCTAACACGTATAAAAAGACACAGCAGGTATAATGGATGAAAAAGGTTTGAATATTTATCTTTCTTAATCTAACAAAAGCTATGGTGGGGGAGGGAGGAGAAAGAATCAGGATATACAAGCAGTTATCACAAAAGCAAACTTCTGCTTCCATGCCGACAATCCAAGGATTCAGCTGCTGCAAAGCTACCTATGACACTTTCAGCATTACTTCCCTCCCAGAGTTTTGAGTCCCACACAAAACATCTGTCATGCTTTTCAGTTTTATGCAGCTAAATTTGGTAAATCTGTCCTGTGATAATAGGGTTATCTAAAGCCTTCAAACTCACAAAATGGGATTTATTTGCAGCTTGAGCTGGAATGATCCATCATTTGGAAAATATTGTCGAAATACATTAATGCAGGGATACAGCACATATCCAGACAGTAAAATTGATCTATATCACAGTGGATTTTATTGGATTAGAAGTTTAGCCACAGAATGCAGATTTCTGACTGCCTAGCCTAAAAGCCCGTGAACCAAAAATGGATAGAGGGGTTAGCTGGTTTTATTGTTAAGAAAAATCAAAGAACACAGTAGATACAAGAACGATAAAAAGGGGAACAGCAAATTTGGAGTTTTAAGAGAGAAATTATCAGTGACTTTTTGTAACAATTCTTAGGTTACCCCACCCCCTACCCCCAAACTGGATTTTTAAAAAAACATTCTTTGATCATACGCATAAGGCCTCAATGTCCCTCACTTCAGGCTACAGTTATCCCGCAAAAACCCCGTCGCATCCAAGGAATGATTTCCTCTTCCGCTTTTTTTCAGAAATACCTCGTTTCACAAGGCATAAGGGCTCTGCCTAAAGGGGAGGCCCATCTAGACTGGGCCAAATGGTGGAAAAGCCTCTTCCGCAAAAGCGACTGAAAAAAGCTACGCAAATAGCAGCTGCCCGTCGTCTAGACCTAGCCTCAGATCAAAAAAGGGAATTTGTGGGATTCAGAAAGTATCCCACAAACAACATGGAATTTCTCTCTCTCTCTCTCTCTCTCTCAAAAAAATCCAAAGAAAAACAAACCCAGCAACTGAATACCGTGCTATGTGGAAGATTATGAAGAGATGGCCATGTTGTACGATCCATGAAGGGAATGCTCGAGTAATCCAAACTCAATGGACTAGCAGTGCTGTTGAGTTCTGTCAATACTTATAATAGGAGAATCCAGTTTGGTTTAATTAAGAAATGATAGTGATCTTGATCAACTGGTAAACGGGGTGTCAGCAAAGAGTCTTCTCCGTTGATACCCACATTTTCCCCTCACCAAAAAAACCCAACCCCTCACAACACAGGCTATAGTTACAGGCTGGGGACTCTCTCTGAGGATGCAGGGACTCTGAAAAGGCCTTAGCTATCCTGGTAGATAATCAGATGGGCAAGAGCTCCCAGTGAAAACTGTTGGCAAAAAAACGTGTGATCCTTGGACGCATAAACGGGGACAGGTTGAACCTCTATGGTCTGGGACTCTCTGGTCCAGCAACATCTGTGGTCAGGCAGGACCAGAGATGCTGTAGGACAACCGGCGAGCTCCCGCTGCAGAGGTTGCTGGCAGCCTGCAGGCCCAGTAGGTTGGGGGCAGTGAGCCCCACCAGCTGGAGTGCCCCCGCTGACCAGAGCGGGACTAGCAGCCGTGGGCTGGGAGCTCTGCCGTGGCCGGAGGGAGACTGGCCTGGAGAGTAGCCCTGACTTCTGGGGCACACAGCCCCGCCATTAAGAGCTGGGCCAGCGACCTGGAGAGGAGCCTGGCGGCGGGCAGGGAGCCCTGCTGGCCAGAGTGGGGCCAGCAACCCATAGAAGAGCCCCACCAGGAGGGCTGGGGGCAGGAGAGCCGAGCAGACGTGCTGAAAGTAGCGCAGTGGCTAAGGCTGCAGTCAGGAGGGGAGCGACAGGAGAGCCAGAGGCTTGACGTCCCCAGTCCGGCAAATTCCCTAGTTCGGGACCACTTGGGTCCCAATGAGTAATATTCAAATTACTCATTTCTGAAAGTCCTTTGAGGGAAAAAATTGTAGTTAAACTTCCACATTATTAATACACATGGCAAACTGTTTGCCATGAATCCCTGTATGCAGTAATAACATTAACCTCCCAGCATACACGAGTTCTGGAGGACTAGCAAACAGGGAATCCTCTTAAAATAAAAGGGAAGCAACTGGATACAATCAAGAATGGAGACCTTAGACTTTCTGGAATGCCCTGCTGCCTGTCTCCAACTAGCTGCACCGTCTGCAGAAATGTGTGTACTTCTGGCTGGGGGTGCAATTCCCGGCTGTAGGAGCCATACCCATGCTAGCTCTTATCGAACAGGAGTGCTAAAAATAGAAAGCAGCCATGGCAACGGGATGGGCTAACTGCCTGAGTATGGACCATAAATTAGCGAATATAGCCCACGGGTTGTCCATGTTTTTACCGACCACGCC